ATATGGTATGATAACTACTCTTCAGAATAGTTAATGGGGGAGAAAAATAAACGAGACAGAAAGCCAGAGAGAGACAAACCCTCTCAGCAGAGAAAATAGGAACAATACTGATGCCAGGACTACAAATTTCTTTTTTTTTTTTGAGACGGAGTCTCGCTCTGTCACCCAGGCTGGAGTGCAGTGGCCGGATCTCGGCTCACTGCAAGCTCCACCTCCCGGGTTCACGCCATTCTCCTGCCTCAGCCTCCCGAGTAGCTGGGACTACAGACGCCCGCCACCTCACCCAGCTGGTTTTTTTTTTTTATTATTCTTTAGTAGAGACGGGGTTTCACCGTGTTAGCCAGGACGGTCTCGATCTCCTGACCTCGTGATCCGCCCGTCTCGGCCTCCCAAAGTGCTGGGATTACAGGCTTGAGCCACCACGCCCGGCCAGGACTACAAATTTCTAAGGAGAGCCAGCTCCTGATTCCTGCCTCATGCCTGAGAACTGCACACAGTACATTGTCCAAAGGCTCCAGGATGAACACCTAAAATGCAATGCAGTCCCAGCCTGAAGCAAAGATTTCTCCCCCCTAGAAGTGAAAGATGAGTCACCATAAATAGGACATTTGGTTAAATAAGATTTTTTTTGTAATGGAACATCCTATTGTCTCTGTGGCAGAGGCTGTAGAAAATTTCTCTGGTATCAAATACTAAAAATACAGTAGCAACGGGAGACTTGGCTGGATTACCAGCTGTCTTTATTCTGTGCAAAGAAGAGCATTCATGATTTTCTGAAAGTTATAATTAAACTGTAGTTTAACAGGAACATTCAAACTTAAGAATGTATCTGTCTAAATCATCTCTCTCTCTTTACACAAGAAACTTAACAGGGTGTCCTCTGGAGAACTGGATGGAGAGGAGAGAAGAAAAACGATCTTTATCTTTTTCATTCCATATCCCTTTGGTACTTAAATTTGTTCATGAAGTACACATTACTACTTCTATAATTTAAAGCAATCTAGGCTGGATGTGGTGGCTCATGCCTGTAATCCCAGCACTTTGGGAGACCAAGGCAGGCAGATCACTTGAGGTCAGGAGTTCGAGACCAGCCTGGCCAACATGGTGAAACCCTGTCTCTACTAAAAATACAAAAATTATCCAGGCATGGTAGCGCAAGCTTGTAATCCCAGCTACTCAGGAGGCTGAGGCAGAAGAATCGCTTGAAATCAGGAAGTGGAGGTTGCAGTGAGCCGAGACTGCACCACTGTACTCCAGCCTGGGCGACAGTGACAGTTCATCTCAAAAAAAAAAAAAAAAAAATTAAAGCAATCTAAATTGTTGGCATCTACCAGTATGTCTTGCCATCAGTTCACCTGTTAACCTTCCTAGAGTCTAATTTTCTCATTTCTCCAGGCCCTGGAGAGGCTATGTGATGATGAAAGCTCTAAGACACAATCTCAACTTTCACAAGTTCACAAGTTTGAAAGGAAGAGCTAGATCTTGCTCCTTGGGGGATGAATGCAGGTAGAGAAAGGTCAGGATTCCAGCAATATTGGAAAAATCAAGTATTTTTCCAGCTTCATATTGCTGTAGAGAATATACTATTAGGGCTGGGTACAGTGGCTCACACCTATAATTCCAGCACTTTGGGAAGCCAAGCCAGAGGGATTGTTTGAGTCCAGGAGTTCGAGACCAGATTGGGCAGCATGGCGAGACCCTGTCTCTACAAAAATACAAAAAATTAGCCCTGCATGGTGGCACTGCCTATAGTCGCAGCTTTTTCGGGAGGCTGAGGTGGGAGGATCACTTGAGCCTGGGGGAGGATCACTTGAGCTGGGGAGGTGATCACACCATTGCACTCCAGCCAGGGCAACAGAGTGAGACCCTGGCTCAAAATAAATAAACAAATACAAAATAAAAATAAAGAATATACTGCTAACCTGGGGGTGGGGGGAGGCTCTGGAGGATATATGTTGGAGAATAGATGCATGCAAAGAAATACTATTTAGTGAGGTTTCAGGTCCAAGGGCACTTTACCACATGGTGGAAGAGACCAGTCATTTGGGTTACTGGGGGGGGGGAAATCCAACTGTTTAGCACTTAGAATGGTGCCCCCAAAACTCTACATTAGTCCTGTGGTGGAATCAGATGTAACAAAAAGGGATTGGTTCCAAATGGCCTTATGCATTGAAATAACTCCCCAAATTTGTTTTTCACAAGGAAAATGTCTATGTAATTGGTGTTAAAATGGACCTTCTCCCCAATTCAATATGAAGACAATTCATTTATTCCAGCAGCTGAGTCTGCAGCAGGAATTAAGTGACTTTCAGGATTTGTTAAAGAACAGAATCTGTCCCCCAGGGGAATTTGTTGAGTTTCAGATATCTAAAAAGGAAAGCTCAGCAAGCCATCTGTCTAGGTTTCTTCAGGGCAATATAACTCAAAGTAGAGGGGCCGGGTGACCTCCTGGAGTCTGTCTCTGGTTAGCTTTTTGCTGCTAACTGGGGATAACAGCCTAATGCCTCATGACGGCTCAGCATGGCTGGGTGAGTCCAACTGGCTCAGAGAGCACCAAAAATAAGCCACAAAGCATTCAGTAGTCATATTTATGGTTTTGATTCTAAACACACTTTGTGCTTATCCCTTCCAAGTGGAGAATTTTTATGTAATGTGTGTGCGTTAAGGCCAAAGGAGAAACCTGGAGGCAAAGGAATGCTGGTTGTGGGTCAACAAATATGCCTGATGGATTATGTATGTTTGGTTTAAAAACACTGACTTAAAGTAAAATACCGTGACTACTTCTAACTTAGAAATGAGTTCAGCCCGCCAGACAGAAACCGCCATTCAGAGGAAATAAAGCCGTGAGCACCGGTTCCCTCCACACCCGCGAGGTTCACCTGGAGGCCAGTGGGCCAAGCGAGGCCTTGGGAGCGGAGAACTCAAAGAGGGGCGGGGAGAAAAGAATAAACACACCTCGCGGGGCTCGGCTGGCGGTCGCACAGTCCTGGTCCTTTTGACGGAACTGACCGAGATGACAGCAAGCAGAGGCTCAAATGCAGGATTCAGACCCAAGACTTCTCCCAGCTCTCGGGCGGACCCCAAAGGCGGGGAGCCAAAAACCGGGAGACTAAGCAAGCAGCATTCTCACTCTCCTAAGCTGGCTTCTCGCTCCTCGCTCCTCATGCCCCAAACCTGATCAGGCCCCAACCCCCCTCCCCACAACTCAGTGTTCCCTCCACACGGACCGTCGAGGCTCCCCAGATCCCACGTCTTCGTCCTTCCTGGACCCCGTGCTCCATTCCTTACAGTCACATACAGGGATCGGTTACCTGTAGAGCAGCTCGACAATCCTGCAGGTAGTCCTCCATGATGAAGCCCAAAGTACGCCGTCGCCCCTGGTCGAGGAGAGGTGCCCGTGGTCGAGGAGAGGTTTCCCCGGCGAATGCACCCCGCCCGGGACTCAGGGGCTAGAGGCCAGAGTCAGGAGGCGGGACTCGAACCCGCCACACAGCGAATCGGCCTCCGACCCCGGGAGGAAGTGCGTAACCGGGTGCTCCCGAGCTTGGCGTCGCCCCTCCCCCAGCGGCGGAGGCGGGGCTCTACGCCCAGAGGCTCCTGGGACGTCTTTCCGGAGAGGCCAAGGGGGTGTGGCGTGGGGCGACGTGGGAAACGTAGTCCTGCGGCTCCGCAATGTCCCTAGCTACCGAGGGAAGGAGCGATTTCTGAGGGATCCGTTGTTTGGTAAACAAATGTGTATGTGTCACAGTAACCCATTATTGTGGCATCTGAACTTTCCCTCTCAGATCAGGCTAAGTATAACATCTTTCCATATATCACACCGAGCATCCGGTTGACATTTTAAATGACACTTGGCAAAACATATCTTCTTTCCCGAAATTCTGCCTTTTACCAAACTGATTCAATCGCCACCAGTTTTGTGGTTGTTCATGTTAGGAGAACATTAGAATAATCTTTGACCCCTCTTGTTTACCTAACACCTACAGTCTCCTGCCAACTCCTGCTGCTTCTCCCTTTGCAACTCTGTAGCCTGTTTTTTCCCTACAGCCTCCGCAAATATCTTCTCCTTCCTTTATTGGACGGTTGTAACCTTGACTTTTTGCTCTCTGCCACCCTAATTGTTCCAACTGCTCTTTCAGCCTTTAGAGTTGCTTGAAGTTTCATCCTGTGGCGGCCCTGTACATAGAGTTTTAGGGAACCCTTCAGAATGTAGAGTTAGGTTCCAGCCTCCCTTAACTGCCACTTTGCAGCCGCAGGGTAGTGCAAGTACTGTAAATAAATGGACACTCATCATCAAAAATTCCCTCATTTATTTATCTATCGCTTTATTTCCTACCATCAGCCTCACACTAGCTTTTCCTGCTTCCCCAGCTGTAAATCGAGAGGAGGTGACTGATGAGAGGCCTGTGGTGGAACCAAGATCCAGAGCACAGGGGTGTTGGATCGCCTGCCTGCTCTGCCAGTTCTTTTTTCTTCTTCCTCTTCTTCTTCAGACGGAGTCTTGCTCTGTCATCAGGCTGGAGTGCAGTGGCAGGATGTTGGCTCACTGCAACCTCTGCCTCCCGGGTTCAAGTGATTCTCCTGCCTCAGCCTCCCGAGTAGCTGAGGCTACAGTTGCATGCCACCACGCCCTGCTAATTTTTGTATTTTTAGTAGAGATGGGGTTTCACTATGTTGGCCAGGTTGGTCTTAATCTCTTGATCTCGTGATTTGCCCACCTCAGCTTCCCAAAGTGCTGGGATTACAGGTGTCAGCCATCGCGCCCAGAGCCTGGGGCTTCTTCCACACCCTCTGCACTCTACCAGGTGCACAACCCAACCAGTTTCATTTCTAGACTTAAAAATGATACAGCAAGGACTTGGAAAGGACCTCTATGGAGGGCTCCAGAGGGTAAAGAGCTGGGTTTGTTTGTTTGTTTTTAACATTAACTGAGTAATATATGCAAATATCATGCTCTTTGGTCCTGCCTCTGTGGATCGAGAGCAAAGGACTGCCATACCCAGAGAGACAGCCCAGATCCAACAAGCTGCTTCTGTCCAGCCCTGCTCCTCCCCACTCAGCAAGGGCACTTGCTCTTCCCTATTCTCACCAGAGAGGCACAAGCGCTCCGTCCCTTCCAGAGGCAGGCGGAGGGAAGAGAAAGGGTCTGTTGTTTTTCTCTCCTGTTTCTTGCTCCCTCTCTGCTGATCACAAAGCTGCTGACCTGGTCAGAAAGCCCTGATGGAAATCCACCAGCGCTGGGCAGGCCCCTCCTCCTCCAGGGAGCTTGTCCTTGCCTAATTTTTCTTCGTCCCGATGAGAACAAAAAAGAGAGAGAGAGAAGAAAAGAAAAACCACAAACTTCCTTTGAAAACCAGCTTGTAGTCAGGGCCTGGAGCGCATGCCCTAGACTCGGCGACTCAGGAATCCTGAAGACTCTCTGAGTGACCTGGAGCACCTGGGCTCCGCCCCTGCCTGCCTTCACCCTCTCCAGTGCCCCCAGTACTGGGCGTGAGTCCGGAAGTGGCCACAACCAAGCCTGTACCGTCGCTCGCAAAGCTGTGTAAACCTGTATAAGCTCAGGCGTTGACAGCTGGAAGGCAGCTGGCACTGGCAGACCCCCTCATTGCACCTATCTTCCCCATCGCATTGCCACAGCTGAACCCTCCTTCTCAATCTTGGAACAGCACCCACTTCTTTAAGGTAAAAACTTTATTTTAATCATCTTCTTCACTTCTTCTCCCACCCCTCTCCATTTCCTCTCCAGCTCTGGGGAGCTGACACCTGCTGTCCTTCCACCTTTGGTCTACAAGTCTGGATTGCTTAGAGGAGCTAAGTCAGGAGAGATATGTAAAGGGGATGCTGCTTGGTCCTCCTCCTTTTAATGAAAGCACGAAACCCTCCCCCTCTCCTTATGAGCAAGTAGACAGGGCACTGTGGCCATGGTTGACATATTCTGAGATGAAAATCTAAACTATTGATTGCATGAAGACGTAGGTCAGACTGAGAAAGAGATTGGTGTGGGACAGTAAGGGAATTGTTCCTACGGAGAGGAAGAGTGTCTTCTTGAAGTTACATACCTGTTTTACATGCTTCTTCCAACTTTTGACTCTGTACTGCCATTGATTAGGGAGGAGCCAGGGTTATTTTAATTCCCTCACCCACCACCATAATTCCAGCTGGAGAAGAAGTGTAGGACTTGAGGAGCTGAGAAAGAGGAGGAGGAGAATGAAACTTTGATTTGTCTGACTATCCTCTCTCTCATTCTTTCCTACTCTGAGATACTCCATGCCCTCCCCAGCAGGATTGGACCTCGTAGAGTAGAAACCTTCCATTACATTTCCTGCCCCTGCCTCTTAAGACTTAGCCCATTTAGCTCTGCCCAGTTCCTCTGAGACCCCACTCCCTCAGGTGTTCCTGGGTTCCTTTGGCTCACCTCTCCAGCCAGCTAGCTGCCCAACCCCACTTCATCATTGATCATTTCTGGCACTGGACAGAAAATATAAAAACTGAGGCCTGCTTTTCTTTTCTTTTCTTTTTTTTTTTTTTTTTCTGAGACAGAGTCTAACTCTTGTCACGCAGGCTGGAGTGCAGTGGCACAATCTTGGCTTACTGCCATCTCCACCTCCGGGGTTCAAGCAATTCTCCTGTCTCAGCCTCCTGAGTAGCTGGGATTACAGGCAGCCGCCACCACGCCTGGCTAATTTTTGTAGTTTAGTGGAGACGGGGTTTCACCATGTTAGCCAGGCTGGTCTTGAACTCCTGACCTCAGGTGATCCACCCGCCTTGGCCTCACAAAGTGCTGGGATACAGGTGTGAGCCACTGTGCCCAGCCGAGGCCTGCTTTTCTTCAAGCTTTTTCACTTTTCCAGGCTCTGGCATCTGCTTTGAGGTTCACCCTAAGTGTCATTTAAGGGGAGAAGAAAAGGAGAGAGAGAAAGAGAGAGAAAAAAAGTGTAAGGCCTGCAGGCAGTTTTTGCTACTCTGATTCTAAATTAACAACAAGTAAATGATATGCAGCTAGCATAAACATACGTGAATCAAGAGGATAATCAATTTGAGTGACTAGGCTTATTCTATTTCAGTAACTTTAATGTTCCTCAACCTCATCTCCCAGGCCTTCCCCTAGCCCCAAATTCATGTAGGTTTACAAGAAGGAAGCAGTCTCAGGTTGGGAGGAGGATGGGGAAAAGACAAGATTTCTAACTAGTTTAATTTATTTTATTTTGTTTTATTTTATTTTTGAGATGGAGTTTCGCTCTGTCATCCAGGCTGTAGTGCAGTGTCACAATCTCAGCTCACTGCAACCCCCGCCTCCTGGGTTCAAGCAATTCTCCCACCTAAGCCTCCTGAGCAGCTGGGACACAGGCACGCGCCAACACACCTGGCTAATTTTTGTATTTTCAATACAGAGAGGATTTCGCCATGTTGGCCAGGATGGTCTCGATCTCCTGATCTCAAGTAATTTGCCCGCCTCAGCCTCCCAAAATGCTGGGATTACAGGTGTGAGCCACCGCGCCTGGTCCCTAACTAGTTTAATTTCTCCCTGTTTCTCTCCTTGATAAAGAGTGGGAGGGGAGCAAGGAGATTAAAGGGAGATGTTTTCCGAAGGGCAGGATTTGTGGTTTTTTATTATTTATACCCACAGCATTAGTTAAATGTCTATCTGTACTTGCCTCAGTGTGCCTCTAGTGCTGATAGAGAGCAGGTTAAACAGGTCCAGTGTTCACATCTAAAACGACCTGGATAGGATTGGGTGCGGTGGCTTATGCCTGTAATCCCAGCAGTTTGGGAGGCCGAGGTGGGAGGATCACCTGAGGTCGGAAGTTTGAGACCAGCCTGACGAACATGGAGAAAACCCGTCTCTACTAAAAAATACAAAATTAGCCGGACGTGGTGGTGCATGCCTGTAATCCCAGCTACTCGGGAGGCTGAGGCAGGAGAATCACTTGCACCCAGGAGGCAGAGGTTGCGGTGAGCTGAGATTGCGCCACTGCACTCCAGCCTGGGCAACAAGAGCAAAACTCCGTCTCAAAAAAATAAAGATAAATAAATAAAACCACTTGGATGGGAATAGACATAAAACTTCAGGTAGGTGAATGTAGAGGGAGTATTGCTAAGTAAATTAATAATCAGCATTTTCATATCTCATAGAAATAGCAGGCAAGAGAGTATCTCTGGGTTTAGGCAGTTTCTGGAAGAAAAAAAAAATGAACTGAGGAAAAGTTGCTGTCTCAACTCTAGCTGTCAAGAGATGCTTACTGGGTCCAGGCACCGTGGCTCATGCCTATAATCCCAGTCCTTTGACAGGCTGAGGAGGGCGGATTACTTGGGGCCCCAGGAGTTGAGACCAGCCTGGGCAACAAAGCAAGACCCTGTCTCAATTTAATTAAAATAAATTTGAATATCTTTATTAATTTTTTTTTTTTAAAGAGAAGCTTACTGGAAGAACTTGTGGGGAGTGCTTTTTGTGCCCCTAATCTGAAGTCACTTATTAAAACCCATCTCTGATTCCAGTCACCCCCTACCTACATTTCCCCTCCCAGCTTACAGGAAACCCCTCCCAAGGCCTTTATACTGTGGTCTCGTATTGCGTATGGTTCGGAAGAGCCCTTTGAGGAGGAAGACTTCCCCTTCCTCACCAGCATTTCGCCTTTAGGGGCATGACACTGACTCTGTGCCTCCTCCATTCTTCACCCCAAGCACTATGTGACTGTTAATCTTTTTATCCTTGGGTGAGGCAGAGAGAAGGTATCCCTAAAAATACAAGCAGCCTGTGTATGCTTAGTATGTTGTGTGAAGGGGCAGGGTGTAGGGTAGGGCAGAGGAATTATCCCTGTGAGGGAATATGGCTATGAGGCAGTTACTGATGTGATGCCTATTAGAGTAAGCTAAAGATCATCATATTAATAACCATTAGCGTAGATTTAACATTTCTTTCTCCACCTCTTTTCCTTCTTTCTCCACCTCTTTTCCTTCTTTCTCCTTTGTGCTCTCCCTTTCTCTGTCTTTTACTTCCTTCCCTGTCACGATCTGTTTCAGGGAAGCTGACTCCACCCATGTCTTCAATCCCACCAGTCTTCCCTCCGCCCCGTGCCCTCTTGGTCTCATCTGGTCACAGCAAGTTAGAGGTGGAAAGAGCTTAGCACAGGACCCTTCTGTTTACACATATACTGCCCCTAGCCAGGAGTGACTGCACAAACACTAACCAGCCTTCTACACTACATTCCTTTTCCAAGACTTATCTGGGTTAGTTTGCTTTCCAGCCCACTGATTTTCTTCTTATTGAACAGGTCCCTCTTTTGCATCCCAAGCCTGGCTTAGGCAAGTCCCTGAGGTCAGTAAACACCTTCAGTGCCCCTCAGCTGAGTCCCTTTTGACTATGGAACACCATCAGCCTGAGGATCCGACCCCTGGTAAGGCCGGGACTGCAGAAGCAGTCATCCCTGAAAACCATGAGCTTCTGGCAGGCCCACATGAGCACCCTCAGAACGCAGATGCAAGAGATGCTGATGGGGAGGCTGGAGAACGGGGCCAAGATTTGCTGCGTGGCCAGTGTGGGGACAACCTTGAGTCCCCTCTGCCTGAAGCTAGCTCAGCTCCACTGGGGCCAACCCTTGGGACACTGCCTGAAGTAGAGACAATGAGGGCATGCTCCATGCCCCAGGAGCTTCCTCAGTCCCCCAGGACCCGACAGCCTGAGCCAGATTTCTACTGTGTCAAGTGGATCCCTTGGAAAGGAGAACGGACACCTATCATCACCCAGAGCAGTAATGGCCCTTGCCCTCTCCTTGCCATCATGAATATCCTCTTTCTTCAGTGGAAGGTAAGAGAACACCCAGTTAGGGGTGCAAAAAATATCAGGGAGTACTCTTCCCTGACCTACTTCCTTGATCATCCTGATATTCTCAAACCAGTCAAAACTTTTCAGATTATTCTCCATATTTCTCCAACTTGAGCAAATGAGATAAGATGTTCCTAAAAACAAAGAAAAAAAGAAAAAGAGGAAGATCTGTCCTACCCCTGTATCTCCTACTCCCTAGCAAATGCACATGCCTTGCAAGATTTCACATTCATTCCCTTGTGCCAGTTGCAAGCCTTTTTTCCTACCCCACCCTACTACTGGAGCTCCCCCTTGCCTTTCCATGGGTTCTTCCTTTAGTGCTCTTTGGGGGAAAGCACACACGTGATCACCCCTTCTGCCTCCAGGTGAAGCTCCCCCTGCAGAAGGAAGTGATCACATCGGATGAGCTCATGGCCCATCTTGGTGAGTGACTGGGCCTTGAAGAGGAATTACCCAAAGGGTTCCAGAGCTATCCACTCAGCCAGAAATCCAGACTATTCAGGGATCTCCATTTGGGGGTTCTGATATGGCAGGGAGGATAAGGGTCTATGGGGCTTCTCTGCAAGGCTGGATAATGAAAAGCAAAGGTGTCAGGAGTCCTGGGTTGTAACACCAATTCTGCCCTTAGCTTTATTATCTGACCCTGGGTGGGCCCTTCACCTTTATGAGCCTGTTGCTTCCTTTGAGAAATGAAGAGTCCGGATTAGACTCTAAGTCTTTTCCAGCTCTGAAAATCTGTGTTCTGTGACATTACCCGAGGAAACTTAGCTTTTGAGGCCATTGGTGGGGTAAGCTAAGAGGTCCTGTCTTGTAGGAAACTGCCTCCTGTCCATCAAGCCCCAGGAGAAGTCAGAGGGACTTCGGCTTAATTTCCAGCAGGTGAGGCAGAAGGTCTGTGGGCATAGGGGTCTGCAGGTTTGTAAGGGGACATCTTGAAATACTAAGAGAAGCTTTTGTTGTTCTTCAGAGGTTTCCTTGAACCATGATTTTATTCTGCAGGAGTCAAAGGAGAGTTTATCTTTGTCCTAGAAAATATGTTCATTGGCCGAGTGCTCACACCTGTAACCCCAGCACTTTGAGAGGCCAAAGCGTGAGGATCACTTGAGGCCAGGAGTTCGAGGCCAGCCTGGGCAACATAATAATACCCCTGTCTCTACAAAAAAAAAAATTTTTTTTCAAGAATTAGCCAGGTATGGCGGTGCGTGCCTGTAGTCCCAGCTACTCAGGAGGCTGAGGTGGGAGGGTCACTTGAAACCAAGAGTTTGAGGCTGTAGTGAGCTAGGATCACACCACTGCAGTCCAGCCTGGATGAAAGAATGAGACTTAAACTCTAAAAGAAAAACAGTGTTCATAGAGAAGGGTTGAGGCAAAGGAGAAATGGAGTGGCTTGTAAGAGAATCGCGAAAGAAAAGCAACAAGGTTAATTTTTAATTTCTGGAGGTGGAAGTGGAGTGGTGGGAGAAAAGGCTAGAATGTCCATCATCTTTTTTCTACCCCCAGAATGTGGATGATGCAATAACAGTGCTGCCTAAACTGGCCACAGGTCTGGATGTCAATGTGCGATTCACAGGCGTCTCTGATTTTGAGTATACACCTGAATGCAGTGTCTTTGACCTACTAGGCATACCTCTGTACCATGGCTGGCTTGTTGATCCACAGGTGAGGGTGGGAGGGCCCACTGGGACCTTATCCAGCTTAAGCTGACATGAGAGAGGCAAATTTTTGTGGGGTAGAGGTTAGGGAGTTAGGGGTTAGAATGGCTTGGGAGGGAAATAGGGTTTGGAGACTGGACCCAGTACAGAAGTCCTTGAATTTTAACCAATTTTGGGGATAACATGCAAATACAAGCAAACTACATGCAAATAGGTCAGTTCTTTAGACATCAAAAATTCAGGAACCAGATGGGTTTGGTGGCACATGCCTGTATTCCCAGCTACTTGGGAGGAGTTCGGGGCCAGTCTGAGCAACATAGCAATCCTATGATGAATGGTTCCTGAAATTTTTTTTTTTTTTTTGAGAGACGAAAAAAAACAGTGTTTAGGAACCATTCATCATAGGGTTGTAGACCTTGTGAGCTTTGTTCATTTCCTTCCTTAAAAAAAAATCCCAATTATTTTGGTATCCTACCATCCCACTACTCAAGCAGAGTCCTGAGGCTGTGCGTGCAGTTGGGAAACTGAGTTACAACCAGCTGGTGGAGAAGATCATCACCTGCAAACACTCCAGTGACACCAACCTCGTGACGGAAGGTGACATTCCTCCCCTTCTCATGAATAGTATGTGGAGGGAATGATGGCTACTTAGGCTTATTTTTTATTGTGTGTCATCTCCCACTACATCCCACTAGGTATAAGCTTCACAAGAAGGAGCTTGGGGAATTTCTGTTTAGTTCACTGGGGTATCCCCAGTGCCTGGCATGAGGTAGCTGTTCTATAAGTATTTGTTAAGTGAATGAATACAGCCAGGTTTCAAGAAAGGGACGTCAGAAGGTGGGACTGACCCCCGGGGCTTTTGACAGGGGCTCTCTGGATGGTCCTTCCTGTTGTGGACCTTGAATTCAAGCCAAGTTTCCCTCAACTTGTCCCCTCTGGCAGGCCTGATTGCAGAGCAGTTCCTGGAGACCACCGCGGCCCAGCTCACCTACCACGGACTGTGTGAGCTGACAGCAGCTGCTAAGGAGGATGAACTTAGCGTCTTTTTCCGAAACAACCACTTTAGCACCATGACTAAGCATAAGGTAATGCGGGTTTGAGGGCGGCGGGCTGCAGTGCTGTCATTTCCTGGTGCCTTTTTCTCATGGGTCCAGCTGGGATCAGCTAGATTAAGCCGTGGTAGCAAGTGACCCGTCAAATCCCTGTGGTTTACCACAACAAAGGTTCATTTCCCGCTCCTGGTGCATGTCCACTGTGAACTGGCTATGGTTCTGTCCCATACCATTTTCACTCTGGGACCCAGCTGACAAAAGATCCTTTATCTGGAATATATGCGGGAACACAGAGAGGGGGCACTGTGCATTCATGCTTAGAGCTTCTGTTTGGAAATGACACATGTCATTTCTGCTCACATCTTCTGGCCAGAGCAAGCCATAAGGGATAAGCCTGCCGTCGATGGTACAGGGAAGTCCGATCCTCCCCTAGGAGGGGGCAGTGGAATTTTTGAACAATGCTGGTCTCCAAAAGTTAGAAACTGCCAAAGTTCTCTAGGATTTGAGCAGCAGAGGGAGGGGTCTCTGGTTCTCAAAGGATTTATCCTAAGAGCCATCAGGCAAGCCCAGAGAACAACGGGAAATGGGGGGAGCAGGGTCTTGTGTGGCATCTCAGCCCCAACGACTGCATGCCATGCTTGGCCAGAATGACCACCATGCTCACACCCAACTGGACATACACTCAGACATCCCTTTCTTCCCCCCAAGGCCACATATATTTATAAAAGGTCCACATGCTGAGGGGCTGGGTGCGGTGGCTCATGTCTGTAATCCCAGCACTTTGGGAGGCCGAGGAGGGCGGATCACGAGGTCAGGAGGTCGAGACCATCCTCCCTAACATGGTAAAACCCCATCTCTACTAAAAAAATACAAAAAATTAGCCAGGCATGGTAGTGGGTGCCTGTAGTCCCAGCTACTCGGGAGGCTGAGACAGGAGAATGGCGTGAACCCGGGAGGCGGAGCTTGCAGTGAGCAGAGATCACACCACTGCACTCCAGCCTGGGTGATAGAGTGAGACTCTGTCTCAAAACAAACAAACAAAAAAAACTGCCTCTGTATCACCTGTCCCCGCAGTGAGCTCTGTTCTTTTCTTTGTAGAGTCACTTATACCTACTGGTCACTGACCAGGGCTTTCTACACGAGGAGCAAGTCGTATGGGAGAGCCTGCACAATGTGGATGGAGACAGCTGCTTTTGTGACTCCGACTTTCACCTGAGTCATTCCCTGGGCAAGGGGCCTGGAGCAGAAGGTGGGAGTGGCTCCCCAGAAAAGCAGCTGCAGGTAGACCAGGTGTGTAGGGCACTTAGGAAAAGTGCAGAGAGCACATGTGCCTCAGGGAGCTTTTTGCCATATACATTTTAACCGCTAGAGGCCATGTGAATCCATGCCTCTTTCTCTGGGTTACCTCAGATCGTCTCCTCACTTGGTGTGTATTCTCTGGCACCACAGATAATGCATTTGGCTGTGTGTGCTGCTCCGTAGGGAGAAAGAGCTAGAGAATTTGAGGGATGTGGAAAAACTGATTTGGAAACTTCGCCTGAATAGCCACAGCTCTGGGCCTCAGCCCACTGTACAACTCTTGTTCTCCCCAGGACTACCTGGTTGCTCTGTCCCTGCAGCAGCAGCAGCCACAAGGCGCGGTGGGGCTCACCGACTTGGAGCTGGCCCAGCAGCTTCAGCAAGAGGAGTATCAACAGCAGCAGGCAGTGCAGCCAGTGTGGACGCGGACACGGGCCCTGTCACCGCAGGTGGGCTGCTGCCCGGGCGCCCACACTCCCGGTTTCCACCTCATGCTTTGCCGGGTCCAGAACACCTATTATTCCTGCACTGGTCTCTTCAAGGTTTCTTCTCTCAGGGCCCTTCCCCTGCCTGTCCCTCTCCCCTGGAGTCCCTTCCTATCTTCCTCTCCCTACTCCCTGTCCCAATCCTGACACCCCTCCTTCTAGAATCTCTTCTTGTGCGCTTCCAAGGAAGTTCAGTGACCGATTGTTAAATTCGATACAGGGGAGAGGAGCCACATCTGGACGCCCAGCTGGGGAGCGTCGGCAGAGGCCGAAGCACGAGTCAGACTGCATTCTGCTGTAGCTCTGCCCCAGTGCCAGGCTGGCCTGCCCCTTCCAGAGGCTATGGCTAGTTGGCTTGCTCCCCCACCTCCATCCCTGAGATGCGCTGGATAACTTATTTATGGACTGTTGGGGATCAGAGCAGGCGACAAATGCCAGGGTCAGACTTGGTAATGTCCTTGACCTCACGTGCTGCTGCCTTCTCTGCCTCCCACCCAGGTGGGTTTCTGGTTCTCAACTTCCAGCCCCTGAATAGTCACACGTATATACAGACTAAGGCTCTGGGGTGAGGTCCTTATCTGGAATGCATCTCTCCTGCTTCCCATCCCTGCTGCCTGGATGCTCCTGATCACCTAGGCAGGCCTGTCTCCAGTTGTTTCAGAGCTTAATTTGGGTTTCTATCTCTGTTATTTGTAATGCCTTCGTGGGGTTTGGAAATAAAACTTCTGGCCTGGCACGGTGGCTCACGCCTGTAATCTCAACAGTTTGAGAGACTGAGGCGGGCGGATCACCTGAGGTTAGGAGTTTGAGACCAGCCTGCCCAAAAAGGTGAAACCCCATCTCTACTAAAAATACAAAAAATTAGCTCAGCGTGGTGGTGGGTGCCTGTAATCCCAGCTACTTGGGAGGCTGAGGCAGGAGAATCACTTGAACCCGGGAGGCGAAAGTTGTAGTGAGCCAAGATCGCACCACTGCACTCCAGCCTGGGCGACGAGCAAAACTCTGTCTAAAAAAAAAAAAAAAAAAGAAAGGAAAAGAAAAAAACCTTCTTTCCTGAGATCTGTTGCTTGCCTTAGCCTGAAGCAATGGGGTTAAGTATTTGACCCAATTGAAGAATGCAAAAAGCTGGAGGTGGGTCAGAGGCAGGAAGGTGGTTACCTGTCTTGTCTTTTCCCCTCCCCTCCCCTCCCCTCCCCTTCTTTTGAGATGGAGTCTCTGTTGCCCAGGCTGGAGTGCAGTGGTGCAATCTCAGCTCACTGCAACCTCCACTTCCCGGATTCAAGCAATTCTCCTGCCTCAGCCTCCTGAGCAGCTGGGACTACAGGCATGCCCCACTGTGCCCGGCTAATTTTTGTATTTTTAGTAGAGACAGGGTTTTGCTGTGTTGGTCAGGCTGGTCTTGAATTCCTGACCTCAGGTGATCCGCCTGCCTTGGCCTCCCAAAGTGCTGGGATTACCTGCGTGAGCCACTGCGCCCAGTTACCTGTCATTTCTAATATAGCCAGCAGGGGGAACCAAAGCCTGACTGTTTTTGTTTCTGTTTTTGTTTTTGTTTTCTATGGGAAATAGTGCTCTCGTGGGAGATGGGTTTCCAAATCTCTGGTTGGACACATGCATTTGAGGGTTGTACTCTCCACTAACCCAAGAATTCCCAGCTGGGAAGGGTAGTTTGACCCTCTGCTTGCTTCCCAGTTCATACAGATGGTCCTTTGCTCCCCCTGACCATTTCTCACCTTGTTCTGGTGCCTGTGTCTCAATTATTTTGCCTGAAGTTTCCTGGAGAATGAGGGTGAGGGGAGACATAGAGAGGGTGGGAGTTGATTACTGTAGCTCTAAGGCAAAACAGGATTCCTGCTGAACAGCCAAGTGCACATCAAAGGCACCTCCAACTCCAACGCCTCTTCCAGGTCCATGTCCTGTTCCACCCAAACTTCAATCAGGGAACACAAACAACAGTGAAGTTTGCCAAAAGAATTCAAGTATCAGTGAGATGTTCTGGCCAGGGTACAGGAGGGATGAGTGAGGCAGAAACTATCAAAGAAAACTCATTTCCCCACACCCAAGAAGGAGCTGGATGACCCAGGTACAGATATAATTTTGAGATGAGGAAAATTAAAGGATTTTAAAGAAACAGTTTCAACCTCAAGAAGCTACAGCATATGGTGCTCAGTGAGGGGTTATCCTACTTGGAGGCCCAGCTGGTCTCCCACGTTCAGCCAAACACGGAAATCTCAGATCCTTGGATGTCATGTGGGGTGGGGCAGGGAAGTCTCACATGTCTTCAGCCCTGCACAAGGCCAGGAGGGCTGACTGGCAATCCCCTTTCACTGCATCCTGCAGACAAGGGAATTCAGTGTTAGAAAGATTCACCACTACTATGGCCCAAGTACTCTTTCCCGTCCTTTGGGTTGGTCCATCATAGTTCATCTGGAAGGGAAGGGTCCTTCCTGGAGCTCAGAGTCCTGCGCTGCATTTCTTTTCTTTTCTGGGTTTTCTTTTCTTTTCTTTTTTTTTTTTAAGACAGAGTCTCGCCCTGTCGCCCAGGGTGGAGTGCAGTGGCACGATCTCGGCTCACCGCAACCTCCACCTTTTGGGTTCAAGTGACTCTCCTGCCTCAGCCTCCTGAGTAGCTGGGATTACAGGTGTGCACCACTATGCCTGGCTAATTTTTGTATTTTTAGTAGAGACTGGGTTTCACCATGTTGGTCAGGCTGGTCTCGAACTCATGACCTCGTGATCCGTCCACCTCAGCCTCCCAAAGTGCTGGGATTACAGGTGTGAGCCACGGCTGACTACTGGGTTTTCTATGGGGCAAGAATATACTCATCTCTGTGCAGGGAGTGAGGGTGGAGGTGAGGAGTGAAGGCCTGGGGCTCCAGGCTAAGAAGTAGCCAAGTTTCACCTGGAGAGAAGAGTAGAGGGACTTCCCAAATTTCTTCTTGAACTCAGCTCTGATACTCAGAAGGTCGGTCTCACATCGAGAGATAAGGATGCGAATCAGGACTTGGTAATTGGGCTCAGTTTCCTAGTAGGGGAAGAAACAGATGGGGGGTGGTTAGTGAGAGTCTCACTGAGAGTAGGGGTTGAATGGCGTGGAGGGTTATTGCAGAAAGTGGAGCCAAGGTGGGAGTCAAGGGATAAGAGTGCACATTATACATTATCTTGGGACAAAAGTTATCTTTGTCCATCCTCATGGAAGATGACACAGCAGGAAAGATCAGTCTCTATGGGGGGCAGTTTGAGTATTTATTTCCTTCTACATGTCTTTCCTGCCCCTACCATTAGCTTAGAGCTGTGTACCTCCAGAATTTGATGGTGAGCAGCTCCAAAGATAGGTATCTCAGGGAGGCTAGAAAAGATTTGGTGCATGTAAAGACTGCCAGCATGAAAACCAGGAAAACTGCTTTTAACTTTCAAGTTAGTGAATATCCAAGGAGGGTATACTTGCCCTACCCCCAAACTGAGCTGATGGGGCTGTGATAGGGAACAAGGTTGTGTGACTTCTGGTTCTGATTCCAACCCAATAGGGCCATCTCACAGCCCCATCTCTGCATATTAGTGTCTCCAGTTGGACCCTTAGGGTGCAACGTTGCTATCTTCCTCCTGTACATGCAGCAGGCCTGTTTTTTGGCTAAAGAAAGTAATGAAAGGTTCAGTTTGGAAATAACAGGCCAGGCACAGTGGCTTACGCCTGTAATCCCAGCACTTTGGGAGGCCGAGGCGCATGGATCATCTGAGGTCAGGAGTTCGAGACAAGCCTGACCAAGATGGTGAAACCCCGTCTCTACTAAAAATACAAAAATAAGCCGGAGCTGGGTATGGTGGTGGGCGTCTGTAATCCCAGCTACTTGGGAGGCTGAGGCAGGAGAATTGCTTGAACCCACAAGGCGGAGGTTGCAGTGAGCCAAGATCGCGCCATTGCACTCCAGCCTGGGCAAGAAGAGCAAAACTCTGTCTCAAAAAAACAAAAACAAAAACAAAAACAAAAAACAAAAAAAAAGAAAGAAAAGAGAAATAACAGGCCAGGTGTGGTGGCTCATGCCTGTGGTCCCAGAACTTTGGGAAGCCATGGCAAGTAGATCATTTATGGTCAGGAGTTCGAGGCCAGCCTGACCAACATGGTCTCTACTAAAACTACAAAAATTAGCTAGGTGTGGTGGCACCTATAATCCCAGCTACTCAGGAGGGTGAGGTAGGAGAATCGCTTGAACCTGGGAGGCAGAGGTTGTAGTAGAGTAACCACCACTGCACTCCAGCCTGGGACAGAGCGAGACTCCGTCTCAAAACCAAAAAAAAAGAAATAACACAGGTACAAGTCACCAAAATCCTGAATTATAATTGATTATACTAAGTAATGTGTTGTTATGAGAGATTTCTAAATAAAAACTTTTAATTGTAAAATTCCTGTTTTTTTCTGTGCACCAGTGTTGTCATCAATTCCTAATATCCTCATTTTCAGAGTTTCCTGAGTCACTTTACTCACAAGACTCTTCCCAGAACTCCCTACAACACATACTTTGGGCATCCCCACAGATCATAAACTCCTTTGACAAAACAAAAAAAAAAGGAAGTAAAACAGGATGCTCCAATTCATTTAGACTCATTACCTAATTGTCAGTGGACCTAATGTCTACTTCATTTTAACTTTCATGCATCATTAGTTTTGTATTGTCGTAAAGATTGCCAATTGCTCCCCAGTATCCATTCTTCTCTCCTTCCAACGCTTGTTACTCTAAAGTTACAGAACTGGGCAAGAGTCACTCATTAGCTGAATACTCTCATTGTTGTACAAGTATTCTTTTTTCTCGCTCTGTCGCCCAGAGTGGAATGCAGTGGCGTGATTTCAGCTCACTGCAACCTCCCCCTCCCGGGTTCAAGTGAGTCTCCTGCCTCAGCCTCCCGAGTAGCTGGGACTACAGCGTGTGCCAAACACCCAGCTAATTTTTTTATTTTTAGTACAGATGGGGTTTCACCATGTTGGCCAGGCTGATCTCAAACTCCTGACCTCAAGTGATCTGCCCACTTCAGCTTCCGAAAGTGCTGGGATTACAGGTGTGAGCCACCGCACCTGGACTTAAATATAATTTTTTTTTTAGATGGAGTCTCACTCTGTCACCCAGGCTGGGGTGCAGTGGTACAATCTCAGGTCACTGAAACCTCTGCCTCCCAGGTTCAAGCAATTCTCCTGTCTCAGCCTCCCAAGTAGCTGGGAATGCAGGTGCATGCCACCACACCTAGCTAATTTTTGTATATTTAGTAGAGACGGGGTTTTACCATGTTGGTCAGGCTGGTCTCGAACTCCTGACCTCAGGTGATTCACCTGCCTCGGCCTCCCAAAGTGCTGGGATTACAGGCATGAGCCACCTTGCCTGGCCTAATTATAATACTTAATCATATACCTGGCATTGCATATGGCCCCAGGATCTTCACTGGGAACATTAATTTTTACTACAGATTGGTCGAAATTTGTCCTGAATCAGTTGCTGATTTTCTGAAGGTCGTTTTTCTGATTATTCTTCACAATCTGTGTTTTCATATATCTACATATCTCTCATAAAAGAAAAATACAGTCTGGGCGCGGTGGCTCACGCCTGTAATCCCAGCACTTTGGAATACTGAGGCTGGTGGATCACCTGAGGTCAGGAGTTTGAGACCAGCCTGGCCAACATGGTGAAACTAAACAGGCCGGCACAGTGGGCTCACACCTGTAATCCCAGCACTTTGGGAGGCTGGAGGCGACGCGGATCATGAGGTCAGGAGATGGAGACCATCCTGGCTACAAGGTGAAACCCCGTCTGTACTAAAAAATACAAAAAAATTAGCCGGGCGTGGTGGCCGGGCCTGTAGTCCCCAGCAACTCCGGAGGCTGAGGCAGAAGAATGGCCTGAGGCCCGGGGGGCAGAGTTGCAGTGAGCCCAGATAGCGCGCCATTGCACTCCAGCCTGGGCAACAGAGCGAGACTCCTGTCTCAAATAAATAAATAATAAACAAATAAAAAATAATAAAAAAGGAAAAATCACTACATCTGTAATATTCTTTTTTTTTTTTTTTTTTCTTTTTTTTTAGACCGAGTCTCACTCTGTTACCCAGGCTGGAGTGCAGTGGTGCAATCTCGGGTCACCGCAACCTCTGCCTCCCGAGTTCAAGAGATTTCTGCCTCGGCCTCCCGAGTAGCGGGACCACAGGTGCTCACCACCACGCCTGGCTACATTTTTGTGTTTTTAGTAGAGACGGGTTTCACCATGGGGTCAGGATGGTCCTTAACTCCTCACTTCGTGATCCTCCGCGCCTCAAGCCTCCCAAAGTGCTGGGATTACAGGCGTGAAGCCACTTCGCCCGACCTTCTCTTCTTTTTCTTTTCTTTTTTCCCTTGAGATGGAGTCCACTCTGTCACCAGGCTGGAGTGCAGTGGAGTGATCTCGGCTCACTGCAATCTTCACTCCTGGGTTCAAGCAATTCTCCTCCTGCCTCAGCCTCCAAGTAGCTGGGACTATAGTCCGCCGCCACCACATCCGTTCTGATTTTTTTATTTTAGTAGAAACAGGTTTCACATGTTAGCCAGGCGTGGTAGAGTGGATCTTTTTTTCTTTCTTCTGTTCTTAAGGAGCTTGCTCGCGAAGTACCAGGTGTG